GAAGAAGAAGGTTATACGCTTTGGGTTCCCTTATTTACCAGATGTTTTGTCAAAGTTGAACTGTTCGAAGGGTCGATATCGCATATCCTTCCCATGTTATAACTCTTAATTACCTTATGTCTGATGCGGCACTTCGTGATTGGAAGGTGCAAAACTACCCCAACAATAACTTTATATATTAAATTATTAATCAAGATTTAAGGATAATATTATGAGTAATTCCCTGTCTATAATACCATCCTTTAAAGTTTGATTTCCAAAAATATTATAATTTTTCAAATGTTTCAAAAATACCACAAATACAAAATATTGTTTTTTAAGATTTTGTAATTTAAATTTTTGGGTATGGATTAATTATTGTAAAATTAGGGTATAATTTTGAAGGGGTAGAGTTTATGGTTTAGACCATCTCCAATGTATTTTTCTATGTTTGACTTTAAAATAGAGTAAAAATATCATTTCTCTATTTTCACTCCAATGTATCTCTATTTTAGAGGAAATGCTATTTTTTTCTTCTATTTTAGAATCAAATATAGCATTTCTTTACTTTTCTGTATATATAGAACAAAAAATAGTAATCTCTATTTTACAGTTCGAAATAGAGGCGGATTATGGAAAAAAAAAATAGAATATTGCTATTTTTGTCTCTATATTTAGAAGAAGAAATAGAGATGGGTTGGAAATGCCTTTCGTTTTGAATATTGAAAGTTAATTTTAGTTTTGTGGTTTTTTTGGAACATTTACCAAATAGTAGTATTTTTGGAACTTTTAAAAAATGGTGATATTTTCTATTTTGAAAACTAAAGTTAAAAGTATGATATTTTTGAGAATTGTCCTAATTATATTGTCCTATGGCTTTGAATTTTTTTTTTTTTAAGAATCAACTAGGAGGATTATTTATAAATGAAACACAACATTTTTGTAGTCGTAACCAATGTTTTAAAAAAGGTTGTAAAACCCAACTTTGATCTCGCAAAATGGGCACAAGAGAAGCTACGGGATAACGGCCTATTCTTCCATGAACTGTATTGTTGCTGATTATTTATATATGAAATATTTACCCAGGCCTAAACACACATGAACTCTTTTTGGTTTTGAATTTTACTACATAATCTTATAAGACTTGGTCAATTCACACAAAATCGTTAACAGAGTCAATTTTTCGTTCACGGGGTTAACTCTCTGTTAACGGAGTCCGACGTGGCTAACCATTCCGATATGATAAAAAAAAAATTTTAAATGCTCAGTTCACATAAAACGGTGACGTTTTATGAACTGGGGGAAAACAAATTTTTAATAAAAATTACGGTTCTTATTGTGTTTTATCGGGTTTGTTTTGGAGATAAACAAATTTAGGAAGGTTGAAGATAAAAAGAGCGATCGATAGAAAGAAATTAGTTGTTTGTGGGTTTCGAATCATTCGTGTAGAGATCGAGAGGAAGCGATTAGGGGCAAATTGAAGAAAAAGTTTCATTTTTTTCTGTTTTTGTTGTTGAATTGTTGATTTGGAAATCTGATTTGAAAATGGCTACAACGATCACTAAGATTCCCACTGATCATTTCGATTTTGTTGTTGATGATGTCATCTCCGGTGGTGGTGACGGAATTGAGAAGAGCGATTCTAAACCGGAAATCGAATCGGAGCTCAAAACCAAATCCGACGAACTGGAGATTGATCAAATGAAGAAGCTTGTGGATATGTTTAAGAAACTCATCCTGAAGCTAAAGAATTTTTCCCTTCTTACAAGAAGAATAACAATCAATCTCTCGACGATTTCATGGTCGTTAAAAAACCATCTGGTGCAGAAGATGACAACAAGAAAGATGCCATTAACCGGATGGTAACAATTTCTTCATGTTTCTCCGATTAAAGTTTGGATTTTTAGTTATGGGTTGATGTTTGTTGCTGGAAAGTCTCTAGCTTTAAGTTTCATTTGATGATTCAAATAGAAAGTTTTGGTTTTGATTTGGTTGTACAATTCATCAATTGGTGTCTTTACATTGTCTTTGATGATGTTGTTTGCTAAAATT